CGCATCTCTAATTTCGCAAATCACTAGACACGCAGGCCGGAATGAGCACGTTTCCCGCATCGTTTTCCGCACCGTCACGAAGAGGCGCCTATAGTTCATCGTTTCCTTTAACTAACATCAACTCGATCCAAGGACGAGGCATCCTCACGTAAAATCTGATTTCACGCACGTCCATTAATTCCCGATCGGGTAATTGATCGAAGCTGAAAAGAACGTCGTATACGCATTCTCGTCGAGAAGCGAGGAATGCGACTCTGAAACTGTACAAATAATGTCCGAAAAATCCGAGGGGGTAACCACTAGCTAAAATGTTGTCCCACAGATTACATGATTTCATTTGATTTCATGATTTCATCTAATTACAAACGATTTCATCTGATTATAAATGATTTCATCTGATTACAAATGATTTCATCTGATTGCAAATGGATTTTTTTCATTACATATGAAATCATTTCATAAAAGTAATGATTTCATCTGATTACACAATGCATTTTCGTGATTGCACATGTAATCATTTAGGATTTTATGTGACACATAAAATTATAAATAGCATTTTATATTGAATTTGATCGCAATTTACTACGGAAAGTGCTCGTGCCACACATGATTTCATCACAGATTTCATAATGATTACACATGATTCCAATGATTACACGAAAATTCAAAATGATTTCTGCTGACTACATATGATTTCATTATGATTTCTAAGGATTCGGCATGATTTCATTTGACTTTATCAATTACATCTGATTGCAAACGATTACACGAGATTTCATAAGGATTTCATAAGGATTTCATAATGATTTCGGGGACACTGTCCCACGATTACATTAAGTGGTTACCCCCTCGGAAAAATCATCGTACATTTCTTTCTTACATATTATGTATAATGTATAGTATTATTTTTAAAGAGCGATATAAATAAAAATTATTATATATTATATAGCGAATATCTGGAGTATTTCGAGACATTTAACAGACATCCAAGAATATCCACTAGATATCTACGCTGCCACGAAGTAAGGTTGGTCGCATGTTGCGAGATATATCGTCCTGTACGACGATGTGTCTTGGATTTCAAATGTCAGGCGAGTAAATGCGGACGAACATCGATTTCCGAAACATTTCCTGCCTCGTCACGCGCTGCGACAGCTCAAACAAACAGTGCGTCGAGTTTCGGAAAGCGCGCACGGTGGAAAGTCTAAAAAAAAAAAAATGAAAAGAAAATCGAAGAAGCACGCGATGTTCTGACCCACTGACGATTTTAGTCGATGTTTCTCTATCGTTCTTCTTTCTCTCTTTTTCTCTCTCGCTTTTCTTTTTCTGCGTCTAGATCCTAGATCGGGGGTTGCATCCGACCAGGATTAATCCCCGTAAGAAAAACATGTCGGCCGAAAGCGCGCGTATGCGCCAACAAAAAAGAGTGAATAAAATGATACGTTTAATAGCAATCGTCACGCCGCGATAAAATCGAAACGCGTCTCTCGTTCATTTACGAAGACCGTACAAGACATCGGCGCGACCCGTGCGTTTAAATTCGAAGAGAGAACATCGCGAACATCGCGATCGACAGGAACAAAAAAGGACGAGGGTATTAGAGCGTATTAGAGGCGGTGGTCATCAGGGGGAGAGATACTCTGGCGTAAACTTGGGTGGAAAAGCACCCTCGGGAGAATAAAAGGACGAAAGGAAAAAGAACGAAGGGAAAAAGCGCCTACGCCGAGGGAGAAGAGAAAAATGAGTGAGACCAAAGAGAGACCCGTGAGCGATAATACCGGAGAAGAGGCGCAACGAGAGAAAGAGAGAGAGAAGGTAGGAGACAGCTGTGCGAAGACAAGAGGGGTCCGCTCGATGAAGGAAAGAGAGAAAGGAGGAGAAAGAAAGGGTGGAAGAAACGAAGGGTGAGAGGAGCGAGCTGTCTTTCTCTTTCTCTCTTCTTCCCTCTCTCGCCTCGGAAAGAGAGATAGAAGCGTGTTTGAAGGACGAGAAGCTTTGCAAGAAGCGAGACGAAACTGGTCGCATTCCGCGAGACAAGAGACGGCACGGACGGCGAAGACGGAGGAACGGCGGCACAAAAGAGGATCACGCGGGTGATTACAACATTAATAAACAAATGAGCCTTGAGGCGGGAGAATTTGCCATCCAATCGGGCACTGGAGGCGGATGCGAGGCGGAGTCACCTCCGACCAACCTCGGGGGCCTCTGAAGGCCTCCGGAGGCCTCGTTCCCTCTCTGGACCTCTCCTCTCCCTCTCCCATGTGCCTCTTCTCCACCAAATTTCTCCCTCTCGTTCTTCGTCTCGGTGGTCATTTCTTCTCTTCCTTTCTCTTTCTGTCTGTTTCTCTCTTCTCCTTCTCTCTGCGCTTTTACATACACAAAACATACGCAACGTGTGTACGCTTCAACGAACGAAGACAACGGTGCGTTAGATCACGCTCTCGTTCTCCTTTCTTCGACAATTTCACGTTACTTCGTGTTGCGCGAATCATCTCGAGGATATGTGTCAAAAATCTAATTTTTTCGCACACACTCCTTTACATATATGTATGTATGCATATGCATCCCCAATCGCTCTTAACTTGTAGCTATCTCCACGTTTGATTATCTCGCAACAATGTTGAGAAAAAACGCGATTGCAAAGATTATCATTGAATGCATGACTTGAGTATAAAGTAATAAATAAATCAGCTAAGACAGGGAATTTTCCCCCAAAATCCTCGACGAAGAATAAGGCGATTGATGGCGCAAATGATGTTTCACAGATAAACTGAACGTGCTCAAAGTCAGTGAGAAGATAGTGACAAATCGGATTATGCGCTCGCTGAAAAATTGTAAATGAACTAACTGGCACGCGGATCGATGTCCTTCGACAAGAGAAGCGTGACAAAGAATGATCTCAATAAATCTTGAAGAATGTTGATATATAAATAATTCATCGCACGTATTGATAATATTTTGAAGAACCCATGGACCATTGATGAACCTATTGCTTAATAATAATCTTGCGGCATATATATATATATATATATATATATTTTTTTTTTTCTTAAGGGGTTATAACACCTTTGCGTAAGAAATTTTTCCTCTTTTTCATTAATTTTTTTCACATCTAAGGAATAGAGTAATCAAAAAACGGGTTTGAGGGTTGATTTTATTATAGTTTCTAGTTATAAAAATTATTTTTTAAATTAAAAAAATCTTTGAAGAATATCCTGTAGATGGCGCCAAAGATGACCCTTTGCGCTATTCCGGTCCAATCGGTGGCCAGGATTCCGGCTTACTGGTATGACATAGAACAAAAATGAAAAGTTTTTCATATTCTCTGATAAATTTTCCATCGAGGTACGTAGGATTTTTGAAAAATATTAATTTTTGTGGAATTTACACTAATTTGAAAAAAAAGTATAAAAATTTTCACTGAAAATCGTTTATAAAATTGGTTCCCAAAAAAAACTAACAATTCTATTAAAAAACGGCTACGTACCTCGATAAACAATTTAATTTAGCGCAGAATAAGCTTTGTTTCAAGTTAATCCGATGTAAATTGTGGGAGCTAAGCTGGCCACCGATTTGAAAAATGGTGTTTTACAGAAATCGCATTTAAAGTTTTGCAACATGGCTATTTCGTACATGAAAAAGTTCCAGACCGACTCTAGATGAATAAAATTATATTCTATACATTCCAAAGTATCATTTAAGCAAAAAAAAAAAATTTTGAATTTTTTTGACCCTCAAAGGTGTTATAACCCCTTAAAGAGATAATTTTTTAGCTTTATTAGAATGAATGGTAACATTATACGAGACCAGAAATTCTACCGACCATCTATTTACACAGCCGATAAATAAATATCACTTTAAATAACTATAGAAGCAATAGCGGTAGATTCATTGGTCACCGTCTGATGACTATTCATCCACTGATCGCCGAGGATTAGAGAGCCGCGAATGAAGAATATTAATCGTCCGGAAAAAGGAAATGTATATGAGTGCGTAGTATCGCTAAATACGGGAAACTACGTGAGAAAGGAAGCGAAATAAGCACTCGTGGCCGGCGAGGGACACCGAGGGTTAAAGTGGAACGGGAGGTCGCGATAGAAATGGAGGTTGAAGAAGTCGTGTCGGGGGCATCGCGCGCCTCGCCTTAATCTTTTAAAGCCCGAATTAGGCTCGGGCGCGCCCTTTCCTGCATTCGAGGAGACGCGTTCTGAGACACGCACGGCCACGAAGAGCGTGCCTCCTCGCTTAACCGGAAGCGGACCATTACCGGAAACTTAATAGTCCGTGAAAACAATAGAATTACGCGCGCGGATCGAATAAAAATCGGAGAGGCGAAGCTGCCTTTTTACAACAACGACGATCAAGACGACGAGGACGAGGACAGGCGGCGCGAAAGGAAATTGCCTCGTATATATATATATATGTATAATCGTTCTGGAAATCTGTCTCCCTCCCCGTCGTTGCAGGCGGAACGGAGACGTTCGCGGGAAAATCGCTCGTGCCCTAGTCCCTGGTTTTGCCCTCTTCCCCTCCTTCTCACTCTTCAGCTTTACCTTCGCCGCCACTCGTCGTACGCGCTATTACTCATCACCATTCAACCGCACGTGACCAGGATCCGGCCTCTCCTTATTTCGATATGTGCACGATTCGATCGTCGAAAATGTCTACGAATTATCGAGGATATATATTTTCTATATATTGAAATATTCGGCTTTGAGAAAGGCGACTACGTTCACGAAGCTCGAAATTAAAATTGGCCTCGAGACTGATTATTTTAAATTCAATATCGAACATAGTTAGCCGATGTAAATGAGCTCACGATGTGTAAACTACATTATAATGTACATCTAATTTGTATTTTATTTGAGTAAATTAAATTGAACAGGTATTACACTCCGCGTTGCTCGAATGATGGATGATAAGCGATCCGTCATCTACGATTTTGCATATAGGCGTTAGCAGCTGCCTCGTACATATATATATATATATATATGTAAAGAAAAGTACTTTCTTCACTTGAATCGGCCGCGCTACATGAGTGACAGTAGGCGGAAGTTGGTAACATTGATCAAGAGAGATAGATAGAGAAGGAGATAGATAGAGAAGGAGATATATAGAGAAGGAGAGAGAAGATAATAAGCACGTGTGCGGAATTTACAAAAGACATTGCGATAGAAGGATTGTTCGAATAAAGAGTGTAGAGAGAGAGTAATTAGAGGTAACGGAGAAAGAAACTTTAATTGTCGTTTCTCTTGTTACAGGTAAGATTGTAAATATTGTACATAAAATGTTAACACAGTGATTAAAATTTAAAGAAAACTCTCTTGTTACAGAGCAACACATTGGTTTTCTTTTCGAAATCCTCAATAATAGAACCATCTTACGAAACGACAATTTCAACCACTTACAACAATGGATAAACTACAGTTTGAGTTCACAATAGTCGCTTCTCCAAAAGACGAAAAATCAAATACGATAGGCATAACCTCAATTAGAACGGAAGACGGTTTAACGTATATCTTACAAGGAGACCATAGATACATAGCCAACCATACAGAATTAATGAAAACAGAGAATTATGTGAAAGCAAAGAATAGCTTAAAAAAAAGACATCAGTCAAGAAAAGTATGGATCTCTATGACAGAAGAGTTGAAAAAAATTTATATGGACCAGGATGGTAATATACAGTTCGCAGATGAATATTTACAAGAAATAGAAGAAAAAGACAGAGCTGATATAAGAAAAGATGATTTGAGTAAGATACTAGAAAAATTGATGGAAACATCACAGAAAAAAGAAGGGGAGAAAAATTTAAAACAAATTGCAGATAAGTATATGATTGAAAAATTTACTAGTAAACACTCAAATGCCAAACAATGGATAGAGACATTTGAGAAGGAATGTACGAGGTTTGATATCATAGAAGATGAAATGAAAATAGAGATATTAAGATTGTTTTTGGATAAATCTTGTTCGGATTGGCACTGTGCAACGTTAACGAAACTGACAGTTACTGCTAAATGGAGGGAATGGAAAGATAGATTTCTAGAGACCTTCGCTGATAAAGGATGGAACACAGTAACATATGCTTTGTCATTTAAATATAAGGAAGGATCTCTTATTGATTACGCAATGAGAAAGGAAAGACTTTTGCTCGACATGAATAAAAATATAGACACAAAAACATTAACGACCTTAATAGCAGTGGGACTGCCAGGTTTCATTATGGATAAAATAGATAGAGAAGAATGTGAAGATTCAACAAAACTATTTAATGAAATAAGAAGATATGAGAGTTTGGTGAATAAAAAAAATTTTTCACAGAAGAAAGAAGAAAAATTTGAAAACAAAAGAAAAACTGGAGAAAAAAAGCCATGCAAGAACTGTGAAAGTTTAAACAAAGGCATCAGATATCATCCAATGGAGTCATGCTGGTTTAAGAAGAAAGAAAATAGTAAGCCTAGCGTGGTAGGAAACAACTCAGTAATAGAGGTAGAATTGAACACAGAGGAAAAAAACTAGATATAACACCATTAGTCAAAATCAAAGTAGTACTAGAAGATAAGTTGGAGATAGAAGGGATCTATGACTCAGGGTCCCAAATCTCACTAATAAATTCAAAATTAGTTAAAGTCATAAAAGATAAGGATATAAATAAAATACAATTAAAAACGGCTAATGGTGTAAAGAGAACAAATGGTTTAATAACTATTAAGGTAAAAATCTTCAATACTGAAGAAATGACAGATGTACATATTGTTGAAAGAGACGATTTTGAAGACTTCATTATCGGACTAGACATGATAAAAAAGTTTAGGCTAGTCCAGAAGGAAAATTTAGCAATAGAACAAGCGAGAGATATAAATTTAAAAGCTGTAAACAAGACAAATTATAATCAAGATAGGATAGAAGAGTATTCAGTGAATTTTAATGAACATATAAAAGAAAACGAATTTAAAATAAAAATAAACCACCTGGATATGAATAAAAAGAAAAAAATAGAAAAACTTATTAAAGAACATAAGAGAGTGTTTGCAAAGGATAAGTACGACATAGGTACTGTAAAAGATTATGAAGCTCGGATAGATCTATTGATTGATAAATACTGCAGTAAAAGGCCGTATAGATGCACAATAGATGATAGAAAGGAAATCGAAGAACAAGTTGCAAATCTTTTAGAGAGACACCTCATTGAAGAATCATATAGTCCGTTTGCAGCACCAGTAACATTGGCATTTAAAAAAGAGGAAAACAAAAAATCTAGACTTTGCATTGACTTTAGAGACATAAATAAAATAATAGTACCACAAGCTCAACCGTTCCCGATAATAGATGATTTGATTATAAAAACAAGAAACTGCAAATATTTCACAACATTGGATATCAACTCAGCGTTCTGGTCCATCCCACTCCGAATTGAAGACAGAAGTAAAACAGGTTTCGTTACACAAGATGGACACTACCAATGGACCTGTCTACCATTTGTTTTGAAAACATCGCCGGCAATTTTCCAGCGAATCTTAAGTAGCATATTAAGAAAACATCGATTAATAGGATTTGCAGTAAACTACATCGATGACATCTTGATATATTCAACATCGTTCGAGGAACATGTGGAACATATAAGGCAGGTACTAGAATCAATAATAAAAGAAGGCTTTAGATTGAAGTTTAAGAAGTGTACGTTCGCTTCAGATTCGATTAAATATTTGGGCCATATAATACAGAACAACTCGGTAAAACCAATTAAAGACAACCTAGCTTCAATTAGAGATTTCCCCACTCCAAAGACGCAAAAAGATATAAGACGGTTTTTGGGGAAAATAAACTTTTATCATGAGTACATACCAAGAAGCGCAATAATTTTAGATCCGCTACATAAGCTGTTACGGAAAAATGAAAAATATATATGGTCAGAAGAGTGTGAAAAATCATTTAAGAAAATAAAAGAACTCATGTGCTCCCAACCAATATTAGAAATATTTGATAAAAATTTACCTATAAAAATCTACACAGACGCATCATTAGAAGGTATTGGCGCAGTGCTGAAACAAGAACAACCAGGGGGAAAAGAAAAGCCAGTTGCATATTTTTCGAAAAAACTGAATAAAACACAAAAAAGGAAAAAAGCCATATATTTAGAGTGTTTGGCAATAAAAGAAGCGGTAAAATACTGGCAACAATGGTTAATAGGAAAACCCTTCACAGTATACTCGGACCATAAGCCTTTGGAAAACCTAAATATAAAAGCAAGAACAGATGAAGAACTGGGCGATCTAACCTATTATTTATCACAATATGATTTCAAGATAACATATTTACCAGGGAAAAATAATGTAGAAGCAGACTGTCTGAGCAGAAACCCAGTGTTGGAAGCAAAAGAGAACAAAGAGGAAGTGTTGAGAATAGTAAACTTAATAAAAATAGATGAGGTAAAAAGAGATCAAGAGAAAAACCGGGCAATAAAAAATGAGAGACCAAACATAATAAATAAAGATGGAATATTTTACAAAAAAATAAAAAAAAAAGAAAAAATAATTCTATCAGAAGATTTCAGTAAGAAGATTATCAAGGAAGTCCACGAAGAATGGTGTCATATAGGCATTAGACAAACGCAGAAGAAAATTAGCCCAATCTACACAGCGAAAAACTTGACAAGAAACATAAAAGAAGCATGTAAAAATTGTGAGATATGTAAGAAAAATAAATCGAGAGGTCAAGGAAAATACGGGCTAATGTCACACCTGGGACCAGCAACGAAGCCGTTTGAAATAATGTCGATAGACACCATTGGCGGCTTCGGAGGATCTAGATCAACGAAGAAATATTTACATTTGCTAGTAGATCATTTCACAAGATATGCCTTCATTTCAACATCAAAGACACAGAACGCTAATGATTTTATCAGATTAGTGAAAAACGTAACAGAAACGGATGAAATTGGGATGATCCTCACAGACCAATACCCAGGAATAAACTCAGAGGGATTTAAAGAATTCTTACAAAAAAATAATATAAAACTGGTCTTCACAGCAGTAAATACACCTTTCTCCAATGGCTTGAACGAGAGACTAAACCAAACGATAGTGAACAGAATTAGATGTAAAATAAATGAACGAAAAAAAAAAAAGCTTGGACAACAGTGGCAAAAGAATGTATCGAAAAATATAACGAGACAGAACACTCAGTAACAGGTTTTGCACCACAATATCTGTTAGATAGCACGAACGTTTCTACAGCACCTGACGAAGTAAAAGGAAAAACCACCATAGAAGATTGGACCAAGGATAAAAGAGTAGCATTGGAAAACACTATCAAATCACATGATTACAACAAAAAAATATTTGATAAAAACCGTAAACAACAAGAGTTCAATATAGGAGACAGAGTATATATAGAAAACGGTAATAAACTAAATAGGACAAAGCTAGACGAATTAAGAATAGGACCTTTTGAGATAACAGAAAAAATATCAAATACAATCTACAAAATAAACACAGGAAGAAAAAAATCCGAAACAGGCCTATTCCACATTACAAAACTAACACCTATCTCAAATAATAAAGAAGAAGCAAGCAAAGAAGATTAAGAAAAAAAAAAAAAAAAAAAAAAAAAAAAAAAGATATACAAGTCAAGAAACAACCATTATTATAAATCTTCAACCCTAGGGGGGGAGATGTAAAGAAAAGTACTTTCTTCACTTGAATCGGCCGCGCTACATGAGTGACAGTAGGCGGAAGTTGGTAACATTGATCAAGAGAGATAGATAGAGAAGGAGATAGATAGAGAAGGAGATAGATAGAGAAGGAGATATATAGAGAAGGAGAGAGAAGATAATAAGCACGTGTGCGGAATTTACAAAAGACATTGCGATAGAAGGATTGTTCGAATAAAGAGTGTAGAGAGAGAGTAATTAGAGGTAACGGAGAAAGAAACTTTAATTGTCGTTTCTCTTGTTACAGGTAAGATTGTAAATATTGTACATAAAATGTTAACACAGTGATTAAAATTTAAAGAAAACTCTCTTGTTACAGAGCAACACATTGGTTTTCTTTTCGAAATCCTCAATAATAGAACCATCTTACATATATATATATATATATATCGTGTTCGTCGCGATAACATCACAATCTCGCACTGTTGTATATTATACGGTTCGTTGCATCGATAATTGTTTTAGATCCTACTTGGTTTGAAAAAAATCGATAATTTGACGATCCTTAAGCAAGTCTCGCGACTTCTTCCTAATTCGAGACGCGGACACACAACCTCCTCCGTGGTTGTGTGTCCTTTTAGCATAATCCCCCCAACGACACGAGAACCCACGATGCGGGTACCAACGCACGGAAGCACTTGCGACACAGAATCAGGACACACACGGGGATGTCGTTCTCTCTCTCCATCTTTCTTGTCTTTTTCTTTCCCTCTGCCGGACTCACGCCACGGTCAATCCTCGTCTATGTCGTGGTTGCACCACCGATAGGCAGGCAGAAGCACCAACGACAGTAGCAGCAACGCCCGGGCATCGGGTTGTCCGATCATCCTCGCCCTAATGAAGGCTGGTTTATCTGAAAGGCTTTCGATTCCCAGTATAACCCATACCACACGTACGCGTCGGTGATGGTGGACACCTTCGCGGTGGTGCTAGCCACCGGCTCGTACAATCTCGCACAAAAGCTGCACTTGTAGCGAACAGGGAAAAAATAAAGACAGAGAAAAAATATTTCTAAAAAAACACGATGATAATTACGAATGTAACGGAATAATTCTAGTAAGCAAAATTAGAGGAATAAAACTGCTCGCTCTAATTGAGAGTATCGTTGTGAAATTTAATTACGTACGAACATTTATTCTATACAAGAAGGTAGCTATTTATTCGTAAAGCAACTCAATTTTTACAAGAATGTATAGTATTAAAAATTTAAAAATTTAATTGTGCGATAGTAAGATTTTTAAATAATTATTTCAAATTGTTTATATATATGAGAATCAACTAGTTGGACTGAAGAGTTTTAGCAGTGATTGTACCTCTGTGTTCAGGCCACCCAAAGCTGGAGAGAAGACACGAGGTGCTCTGGGAGAGCAAGTGGGGAAAGGAGGGAGGGTTCTCTACGATGTTAATTTTAACTTAATTAAGGCTTAATTGAGAAGAAAACATTATACTCCGCGACCGCGACATTGCCCGGGGCCTTCGCATCTGCAACGCAAATCCGGATTTGAAATTTCAAAAATCGCGCCCGCCCTGCCTTAAAGACCGCTCCCTTCCGTTTCCTTCCGTCTCCCCTTCCCCTCTTCCTAGCGCGAGTGCAAGATCGCGAATCGTGGTCAATTAGAGAATGTGGAAGAGGTTGGTGGTACGGAGACCATCGGCTATTCATGGGATAAAAGAAGGGAGAAAATACATGATGACGTGAAGAAAAAACTGCGTGCTTTTAAATTTTCAAAATCTTAATCACTGATTGTCAACAGCACCAAAAATTTGACAGCCCGTCTAAATTATTTTTAGAATTTGTGGAACGAAA